GCTGAGCAGTGTGGTGGCTGCAAAGAACTTGTGAAGAGGCACCTGAGAAGTTTGTGGTCACCCTCCTGCACTGCTGCCTCTGTTACCCTGCCTGCCTCTCTGCTCTCTGCCACCACTCATGTGCCTCTAGAGCCTACGGGAATTCCATGCTTGGACTCCTGTGAACTCTTTAAGACCCTAGAAGAGCAACTGAGGAAGTTCCTCAGCCCTTACAAGAAATTTAGGACACAGAGCACAGACCAGGGTCAGCAGAGGTCAAGGCGGCCTGACAACCATCACACTTCCTTCTCCCTCTATCCTGAGGGCCCAGGGATCAGGAAGAACTATGCACTATCAGCCTGTGTTTGTTTCTTCCTTCCTCAGCAAAAGCAGGCTCTGTCCCTCAGCACCTGAATAAGAGCTAGAATGGGCCCTTCTCTGGCCTGAAGGACAGGCCCTGGTCCAGTTCTTGCTGTTAGACCTGCCAGGGCTGGCCAGATCCTTGCACCATCCCAGACCTGTTTCAAAAACAGGAGCAGCACTTCAGTCCAGCCATCCTGTGTTCCCTGCCACTCTGTAGGTCCTTCTCTAGAGGACTTCCTATTAATGACTGGGTACTCCTACGACACTTGTGGAGAGAAGGCGAAGTCCCTAACTGCTGCCTGGGATGGCTGAGCAAGTTCTAGGGTCTAGCCTGCCATCTGCTCGAGGAGGAGGAGGAGGGGGGGGAGGAGGAAGGGAGGGAGGGGGAGAGGAGGAGAGAGGAGGAGGGGGAGGAAGGGGAGGAGGAGGAAGAAAGGAAAAGAAAAAGGAAGAAAAGGCCCTCTGTCTCTGAGCCTACAGCCAAGCTTCAGTCGCAGTGCTGGGCAGGCACAAAGTGGCCCTGATACAGTCTTTGCCTCCCCCTGAAACTTCATGAGTCAGGTCTACACCATCTTCATGTCTCTCAACATTCTTTTTGTGTGTTTGTTTGTTTGAGACAGATTCTCACTATGTCACCCTGGCTGGCCTAGACTATGCCAGCAGCTCCTCTGAAGCTGTGATACTGTAGAGCCATTCTCTAAAGCAGTGGGGCCCAGCTGGCAAAGATGCCAGCTGGAGCTGTATCAGTCCCCAAGTTGGGACTTGAATGACTAGGCCACACATTTAGAGGTGGTCTGTGACACCTCTGCACTGTGAACAGCTCTTCTGTGAATGTACTAAGCCACAGGGTGGGGGTGGGGCATGCTCTGTTGCCAGAGCCACACTGTGTGGCCAGGGACTAGATCAATTACATTATGAGGTCAGGGGACTGTTTTTCCTTTAGTTTGTCTGTTGGAGCTTCATCTATGTGTTTATTTGTGTGTGAATGGTGCCGCAGCATGTGTGTGGAGGTCAGAAGACAACTTGTGGAATTCGGATCTCTCCTGCCATGTGGGTCTCGGGGATCAAGCTCAGGTCATCAGGCTTTGTGGCAAGCACCTTCACCCACTGGACTATCTTGCCAGCCCTTATTTTGGCTTTGAGATCAAGTCTCACTATTTAGCCTAGGCTGATCTCAAACTCGAAATCCTGCCTCATTCTCCCAAGTGCTGGGATTACAGGCATGTGTCACCACACCTGGCTTGTTGGAGCTTTTGTCAAAATTGACTTCTAATTGCTTTCAATCCTTCTAGAAACTTGCTTTGTATTTATGGAACTCTGTACACTTAGACTTCATAGAGTCAAATACACTTTGGGCCCTCTCTCCTGGGTCCCATCAATATCTATCTTTCAGGTAGGTCCTGAGAAGACCAGAATTAGAAAATGGGTTTAAGGTGGGCAGCTGACAGGGGCCAGAAGCCTGGCATGGAGACATCTGCAGTGACTAGCTGTGGCAGGCAGGCAAGGTGCCCAGCTTTGACTGCTTGACGCCCTTCCCTCCTGCGGAGGTGGGTACTATGTGGATGGGACTCCCTGTGGCTTTGGGTGGCTGCTGCAAGGCATCTGGGCTTGTCAACCAGGTGGCTCTGGCTGTAAACTGTCCCCAGAGCTGACCCTACCGTCTCAATGAGAAAGAGAAGGCGGACCTGCTCTGCCTGTCTGCTAACGACAGAACTCTTCTCGGGCAGCAAACACTTCACTGACAAGGCCCTACCATGCTTTTTAAAGACTGTTGCTCACACTTGCTTTAGGAACCTGGGGTCTGTCCTAGTCCTTTTTACTTTAGGAACACATATCCTACCTTAGCACACACACTGGAAGTTCCTGAGGCAGAGTTAACATGGACACAATCCACCTTCCTTCTCTCCTTACCTGGGAGGGCTAGGGGCTAGTGAGGGACTGAAGTGGAGATGGGAGGGGTCCAGATGCAGAAGCCATGGCAGTAGACAAGTGAGGAGGAGCTAAGGGGACAAAGGCTGGGGCCTTTCTTAGACTTGTCCAAACAGTACCTCCTCGAGTGGGTGAGTCAAACTGGGTAACACTGGCCCTTCCACCAAGGAGGCTTCTGTTTTCATAGCATAGATGGCTTAGCCTCCCGGTCACCTGCTTCCTACAGACAGAGCTGAGACACCTTCACAAGGGACGTCTGCATGCCAGAGTCAGGCTGTCACCTCCCTGCCTCATCCCCACTTTTCTCATTTTGGTCTTGGCAGGAGTCTGGCAAAGAAAATGCCTCAGATAGCCCCACATGCTTGTCTTCACCAGTCTGCCCTTCCTTGGCCAAAGGCCTGCCTGTCTCCCAGGGCTTCTCACCTCCCACAAAACCATCTGGGGCCCACAGCCCACACTCACAGCACACTAACACTGCTCACATTCCCATTCCTGCCCTGTGATTCCACAGGGCCGCCAAGGAGCAAACAACCAGTGTTCAAATCCTGGCTCTTCCAGTTACTTAACTGTGTGGCCTTAGATTATTACATAACCTCTCTGGTGCCTCACTTATAAGACGGGGATAGTAATAGTATCGAATCATAAAATCGTGATGAAGATTAGAGGTGTTAGTACATTCATTAGAGGAGTTGAGAACACACAAGTGTTAGTTGTCCCAAGTCAAGTCTCCTCACTAAGGACATAAACTCCTTGAGGGTGAAGTGTGCCTTCTCTCTGTCCTGCATCCAGTTACCTGTAACTCTTCATGGGCCACAACTGCAGTTTCCCTCTCCTATGACTCTTTCCTCCCTCTCAGGTGTGTTCACAGAAACCTACAGCAGGGCTCACTATGAAAAGTAATTCCTTCAGAAGCAGATCTACCTCCCCAAAGGACACGGCAGAAGCAGGCTGTATCCTGACATAGCTGCAGGATCTTGATAGGCTGAGGTCACTTGAATCAAAAAGCTACTGCCCAAAAATGACACCATAAAGAACTCAAAATAAACACAAAATTTAATGAAAACAAATGAGTACAAAGTGAGTGGAAATAAACGAAACAAGTCAATGAATGGAGAAGTAAATGAATTAACAACTGAAGTGGTTTCAGAAAAGCAAGATAACGTTAACAGGTGAGCAAGCCGGCTTCCCTTGGGGCCTCTCACCCAGTAGCAACCCACCGAAAGGGAGCTCACAGACACACACAAACATGGGGTCAGTTTGCATGATCACAAGGCACCTGGATTCAGGTTACCCATTACAAGGGAGAATACACATCCTGGTTGGTCTAGGACCATCAGCTTTATAGCTGGTGACTTGATCCATCCTTCCTTCCTTCCCAATGCTGGGGATGGAACTCACCCCCATGCATGCTAGGCAAGCTCTCTACCACTGAGTGACATGCCCAGCACTTTTTTAGTTTGATATAGGGTCTTGCTAAATTGCCCAGGCTGGCCTTGAACTTGTGATCCTCCTGCCTCAGCCTGCCGAGTGGCTGAGATTATAGGTCTGACCACCTGACATGATTATTAACAGCATCCTCTTTCTCTCTCAAAAGTCCAGGTTTAGTCAATAAATTACACAGTTATTCCACCACAAACCAAAATAACTCAGGGACGACAAGGACAGTAAATGCCAACATGATCCTATAATAATCCCAGTGAAGCCAACAGACGACAGAGAAGAAATGGATCCATTTCAGCTGCACATGGGGCCACATTATTCAAGGGGTACCATGCTCACCTTGTATGCCAAGGATGAATTTAGCTGAGCTAAAGATGACACAATTCCACACAGAAGGGGAGAAGTTTGCCATGGCTGATGGGACCCTAGAAAATGCAAGTCAGGTCTTCCCAGGGATGCTGGCAAGCCTTGGGCCACAGGTAGGGACAGACCACAATGGCCTTCCAATATGCCCAGGTGGTGACTGGCAAGCTGTAGGGGATGGTGGTGGAATCTGCTGGTTTCAGAGTCCCTAGCATGGTCCATGAGCCAGAGTCCTCTCTCTTACATTACCAGGGGGCTTGCTGGGTCATCAGGCCTCATCCAGGAATACACTGGCTAGGAGAGGCCATTCTGAAGGACATGCTTTGATCCAAGTGAATACACCCTCAGACATACATGTGCCCTAAGAGGAGCTGCTGGTCCACCATCCAGATCCACCTGGTATCCCCAATATCAGTTCTGTCATGGCCAATGGTGGACTCACTGTGAAACTAGACCCTGAACCTAATTTTACATTCGTATTTTCCTAGTAAGTAGTTTGAGCTTCCAGCCTTGCAGTCAGGATCAACCCTGGACATGCCATAGCCCTCCTCAGTACTCAGAGCATCAGCAAACCTGCTCTCCTGCCACATGGGGCCTCTTACATGTATAGGCCCAGACTCAGCCCTGGAAATCAGTGAGGCAGTCCAGGTGGGGGGGGCGGTGTTATAGTGATGGGAGGGAAGATCAGGGCATGAAAAACTGGGTGCAGCATGAACCAGCACAGTCCCCTCGGGATCCCAGAGAGGAAGCAGCTGGGTGGTGAGTTCCTCCAGCATTGAATGTATCCTTCTGGGGAGGCCAGTGCCCAGCCTGGTGCTGCAGCAACTAAGGTGTCAGTTTTCACCCTCCGTTTTCAATCAGGACTCTCCAGGCTTGTAAACCATCAGGAGCAGGGCTGGATTGTCAGTACTTTTCTTGTTTGGGGCTTTTTTTTTTTTTTTTTTTTTTTGAGACAGGGTCTCATGTAGCCCAAGCTGGCCTGAAACAATGTAGCAAAGGTTGGCCTCCAGCTTCCACTTTCCAAGTGCTGGGATTACAGTTATGCACTGTAATCATGCCTGGCTGCCACTTTCTTAAAGTGTCCCCTGAAGATTAAGGTCAGCTGGAGGAGGAGAACTCTTGACTGTTGTTTTTAGGGTTTTTTTTCTTGAAATTGTCCTAATACATCAGACACCTTTATCTCCTTGCCCTGTGACTCAGCCAGGAAAGAAGAAACAATGACTTTGACATAACAGCTATCTCTCCATTGAGCACTCTGGTTGGGGGGAGCAGGGGTTGATTTGGAGTCAAACACTTAACAAACACCTACTTGGTCCCCGTTCACAGGTAGCACCTCTGGGGCAGAGACAAGGGCTTTGGGCTGCTATTCCATTTACATTCACAGTAAAACACTGGACATGGTCTTGTCCGGAGTCCATTTTTGTCCGTAAAGAAGTCCCAAACACTGTCATTACAGGAAGTTTATTCCCCGCCTCTCCCTACCTATGAAAGTAGTGTTTTATACATAAGAAAGATTTAGAGAGATTTTTAGTTTTAAAAATCAGGGAATCTGTGTTACTTATGAAAATAATGGGAGAGACAGATATTATTTGTCTTTACACTGGTGCCAAAAATCAAAATTTAGAAGTGTTTCAAAGTTATTATTGAAATTAAGCTCTAGGTTAGAAAAATTAAAATGGAAGGAACCAGGCGAATTTTGCAGCGGGTATACCAGACCACAGGCCGCACCTAGGCACCACGTGAGTCGCCGTCTTGACGCTGAACAATTAGGCCTAGCATCACCGGCTGGGGCCATCCCTAGAGCTCCATCAAGGAATAGTGACACTGTAAATGGAAGACCAGCCACTGGCTCTGAAAAAAATAAACCTTGTCAGTTTTGGATTCCAGCATTCATGGCTTTGACGCATTTGCATAGAGAGGGGTAGCCAGCCAGGCCCAGGCAGCCTGGGGCCGGGTGGGGTAGGGACAGGGCAAGGCTGTAAACACTGGAGTCAGTACCGGCTCCCAGTCCATCCTCACACCAAGTTATGGGAGAAAGGTCACAAGGTGTAACTCAAGCAACTTAACACATGAAAGTCTAAAGTCCGCTCTTGACATGTAAGTCTGGGCGTGCTTTAACTGAAAAATAAAAATAAAACAAACAAAACAAAAACAGACACATTAAAAGATACGCAGACCAAATCAAACAGAAGCAAAAGACAGCAAGGTGGACACCGGGAAAGGACAGTCAGTTTGGCATTTGTGATGAGCAAAGCAGGGAACTCGTTTCACTTTGTGGCATCCCGGGCTGAGGGTCAAGATCTGATTGGGAAGTAATTTCGCAAAAATGTGTTAAAATTTGAAGAATGAGTACAATCAACCAAAGCCATTCAACTCAATGGCCATGCCAAATGCCCACTCCCAAATACACACCCAGCCCACCCGATCCCCTGGACCAGGGCAGGAAGCAGCCGTGTCCGGCCCTGTGACCCTCCCATACCAGCTCCACGGGTAGCGAGTCCTCTCTCCCAGAGCCAAACTGACTGAAGCTTTCTGGTATAACCAGTCAACAGAAAGGGCCTATCTTCTAGACCTAGGCCTGGAGAATGACATCCCAGGAGACCAGATACCTGACAAATCTCCCTGACAGCTGTGTCTGTCACTTGCAGTAGGGTTCTACCCCTACTCTCCCTTCTCCCTGTGGTTTCTTTTTTCTTTTTCTTTTGAGAAAAAGTTTCCCTATAGTCACAGCTGGCCTGAAACTTACTATGTAGACCAGGCTGGCCTCAATCTCACAGAGATTCACCTGCCTTTGCCGCCCAGGTGCCAGAATTAAAGGCATGTGCCACCACATCCAGCTTTTCTTTTGTTTTTCGGTTTTTTGTTTTTTGTTTCTTTTTTTGAGACAAGATCTTGCTAGGTATCCCAGGCTGCCCTAGTAACTTACTATAGAGCCTAAGCTGGCCTCAAACTTAAGAGCGATCCTCCTGCCTTCACCTCCTTAGGGCTGGGAATGCAGGATGTGCTGCCACAACCCGACTGGCCCTGTGGCTCTCCAGAGCTTCCTTCTTAGATGCTGCTGCCCTACCTACCTCTTCTTTTACAGGGTGGCCTGGGCCAAGCTGGTAGGGAGCAGGGCAAAGTCACTTTAGGTGCACAGTCCTCCGGGCCCTGCTCCTCTCAGGAGGAGCCCCGTCTCTGACTGCCAGCCTAAAATAAAGTCCACACTGATTCTGCCTCAACCTCCATGCTCACCAAACCAAGAGCTGGATTTAGGACCAGGGCTGGAAGAAGCTGTAAAATGAAGGGAAATTCTCATAGCCAAGAGAAGTGTGGGCCTGGGGTCCTCTCTGGGGACAGGCAACTGGGGTGGGTCGCCAGGCATTAGGATGAATACTATAGAAAGGAGGAAAGCCTGTCCCAAAGCAGAGGGCAAACCTTGGGAACGACAACTAGAATCTGCTCCAAGTGCTTTGACCCCAGGGAGAAGCACTGTTAGTTTCTTTTCCTTAAGGTACCTGTGTATCTATGCACGTCTGTGCCACGTGCTGGTTAACATGCACCTGTGCCTATGGATATGATAGGCAGTAGTGTAAGACAGTGTGTGCATGTATGTGTGCACGTGTGTTAGGGAATGGAGTCTGAGATGGGATGTGACATGGCAGAGTTCATATACGTAGCTGCATCCCAGAGCCCGCTAACTACGCACTGTGTGACCCTAACCACTAGGCTCCACTACCAAGGAAGGAAGGGCCTGGGCACACATATCCTTAAATAGTTTGGGAGAAAACCAGAGCTCAGGAGTGAGGGTCAGGATGGATGGATCCGCTTATCTCCTGGGTTGGCAAGAAAAGGAAGAGACCAAATCCAGGCCAGAGGCTGGGAGAATGGTGGATCAGGCACAGTACTGTGATTGGTATGAGCCTCTGAGTGAAGGGAGAGTGGGAGGGTGAGAGCCATGGGGCCAGGGCATTGGATGTGGGAAGGGGCTATGGAGAGCCTACGGTGCTGGGAATGCGGCTCAGCAATACAGAACTTCTCTAGCATGTGTGAGGCCCTAGGTTCCATGCCCAGAACTACAAAAAGAAAAAAAGTGGGGGGAGGGCACAAAGAAAATGCTAAGGGAAACTGATTGGGGGTTGTTCCTTGGCCAGCATGCCTGAGGCTGGGTGGGAAGAGAGCCTCCTTGGCATTTGGGTTTCCCTGGCCTCTCTACAGGAATGTCTCTAGTCCCTAGAAGGGTGACCCTGCTCCCTGGCACGGCCACAGAGCCCTACGGGAGCCATGTCCTTTCATCCCTGCAGAACAGCCCTCATGAATAGCTGTGTAGAGATGACAGTGACCCAGAGGACAGCTCGCTGGCTTTCTGCTGTTATGGGTTCCACACCCTGCCTCAGGCCTAGGGCACCACGTCACAGCTGCCTAAATAGAAGCACAGGAGCTTTTAGGGTCTGGCAGGAAATGAGGACAGTCCCGAGTCCTTGTCCTGTCCCTCTCCTGTCCTGAGAGACTCACCCCAGCCTCCTGGAGCTACCCTTGCTCAGCTGTTCCCTGCCTCCCCTGCCCCTGCGCCCCAGCCTCCCTCACCACTGCAGTAGCTCAAGAGCCCAGCTGCTGAGGGTGCTGCGGGGGGGGGGGAATGAGGGAGCAAGAGAGAGCAAAGGGGGAGGGAGAACGCAGGGCACAGGACTGGATGGAGAGTAAGCGGCTGCAAAAAGGAGATTCAGACTGGGGCATGGGGGCTCTAATGGGAGAACGGGAGGAGAGCACAAACTGCAGTGAGTCCGAGAGCAGGCAAGAGGAGGGGGCCCGCAGGGGAGAGGAGGGGGCCCGCAGGGGAGAGGAGAGGAGCCCACAGAGGAGAGGAGAGGAGCCTGCAGGGGAGAGGAGGGGCCCGCAGGGGAGAGGAGGGGGCCCGCAGGGGGAGAGGAGGGGCCTGCAGGGGAGAGGAGCCTGCAGGGGAGAGGAGCTCGCAGGGGAGAGGAGCCCGCAGGGATTGGAGATGTCACTTACTTCTTCTTGTCCTTGTCCTTCCTCAGGGGCTGCTGTGAGGTGGCATGCATGGCCTGAGACTGCAGGGCCTCCATGGCTGCCTTCCTGCAGTTGAAGGCCTTGGTTTCCTCCTCCAGCTCCCTGCGCTTCTCCTCCACCTTGCGCTTCTCCTCCTGGTGAATCCGCTTCAGGTGCTCAAACTTCTCATGGAGCTGGGGTGGAGGGGATGGGGGCACTTTGGTACGTTCAAGGTACTGGTGCCATCTGCACACCAGCCTGCCTGCCCTGGCCTCATGCCCACAGCCCCAGGCCTGCACACACCTCGCGTTCCTTCTCCTTCAGCTCCAGCTCCGTCTCCTTCACTTTGTTGACGAACATCTGTCTCATCTCCTCCTCCTTCCTCTGTAGCTCACTTAGGAACTCCTTCCTCTTGGCCTCGTATGTCTCTTGGAGGCTGTGGAGACCCAGAAAAGATGCCAAGGGCAGGATGGTGACACGGGGTGGGACAGAGCCAGAGCGAGGGAGATGTTGGGGACAAGAGGATGTGGGGCTCCCACCAGCCTCTGCCTGGCTCACAAGAGCAAACAGGCCAAGCGCTGGTACAAGACAAGAGCAGCTGTGGCACGGGGCCAGAGAAATGGCTCAGTGGTTAAGAACACTTGCTGTTCTTGAAAGGACCTGAGTTCGGTTCACAGCACCCACGTGAGGCAGCTCAAAACCACCTGTAGCTCCAGCTCAAAGGACTTCAACGACCTCCTCTGGCCTTCACGCTCACCTGCATTTGTGCACGCTTACCCACACAGACACACAGTATACATAAATAAGAAAATAAAGAGTGGCTGTGACATTGCAGTGCAGCCTGTCACCTGAAGGGCTGGCTGTCACCATCACTGTCCTGGAAGCCCATCTCCTCCAACTTGCAGCGTCGGTAGAGCTCGTAGTGCCGACTGTGGGTCTGCTCCCGCAGGTCCTCCATGTTCACCCGGATCAGCATCTCCCGCAGCTTCACAAAGTCGCAGTGGTTCTCGTTCTCCACTGAAACCAGCATGAGAGGCATTGAGTGAGGGAGAAACATCGGCAGGGGACAGTGGGACAGCAGTCAGGGGCATGAGAGGCATGAGGAAGGCACACAGATGGGCAGGGGACAGCAGGGCAGGCGGAGAGTGGCTGGGTGCCTTGATGGCTCCACAGTGTGAGGCAAGCAAAAGAGTGGTCAGAGGCCTCAGTGGCTCCACAGAGCAAGACAGACATGTGGAAAGGTAGGAGAGAGCAGTGGTTGGGGTGTCCGGCAGCTCAGAGTGAGGTGAACATACAGATTTGGGTGGAGGGAGACAGCAGGATGTGGCTGGGTGCCTCAGTGGCTCCAGTGTGAGACAGGCAGCAGGAGAGAGGCTGGTGGCGTGGGGAGCTCACAGACTGAAGTGGCCATGCGGACGAACAGAGGGCAGCAGGACAGCAGCTGGGGGCCTCAGTAGCTGGACAGAAGGAGACTGAGTTGTGGCCCCAACTGGGGATGCGCTCCCACCACACTCACCCTGCACCACTCCCCAGGGGTACTGCCGTGCTCGCACCAGCTTGTTGCCCACCTTCACCTCCTCCGTGCTGCCCACCACAGCAAAGGGCAGGTGTGCCTGGAAAGGGGCCCAGGCATGTGTGAGCACTGCACTGGCATAAAGGGACCGGCTCTCCCTCACTGCCCTGCACCCCAGGGAGGAGTTATCAGCCCCAAACAAGGCCCTGGACTCGACGGCTCACTTCCCATCTCCCTCTCCATCCTGGGGGTCCCTAACTCTGTGATGCTTTTCCCAGGGCAGCAGAGCTCCCTGACAGGGCCTGTGGGCCTGGCTCCCTTTGGGTTACCAACCCCTGGTCTTTTGCTTTAGGCTTCACATTCCCACCTGAGTCCAGAACTCAGCACACACCTAATCCCCAATTGCTCTTATCCCCTGCCCACAGGACACAAGACAGGAAGGCTTCTGACACCTGCCTCCCACCCCATCTTGGAGAAGCTAAGGCTGGAATTCTGAGAACAAGAGGCCATTCCCAGGGGCATATCTAAGATATGTGCTGTCTCCAAGCCCTCCCAAGCCCAAGACCTCACCCACCACTCACGTTCATGACTGCGTTAATCTCTGCAACAGCCTCATCATCAGTGGGAAACTGGTAGATCTGGACTCCATTGCTGACCAGCTCACCCATGATCTTGATCTTGAATTTGTGGAGCTCGCTCTTGGAGATGGTGTCAGCCTTGGCAATGATGGGAATTATGTTCACCTGTCAGGATCGGGGAGGTAACAGTAGGATTGAGTGATAGTCCCTGACTGTGGACACCCTGTGGACAAGCACTAGGAACAAGAAAGCAGAAAGACAGCTGCTCCCATGGGCAGTTCAGTCCAGTCTCAACCACCTGTGGCCACTGTGATGGGCTGTAACCCTGACAACCAGCTGCAGTGCTCCTCACCGTCCTGGCTCCCCCACATCATCCAGCTGCAAGTTGGATCGTGTGGCACATTCAGCTTGGGCCCAGAATGCTCCGAGAGTCTTAACTTGCCTGGGACCTGACAGAAACAGTGGTAGGGACCAACCTCCCCACTGAGCAAGTAAGAGGATCCAGGAGCAGCAGCTTTGGGAAGGATCTCAGAATCTCCCAGGCCAAGGTTATCCCGTTTTTCATGGTGAAAATCAACTCCTGAGATGGGAAGGGCAGCCACGTAGGACTAATGGTTATCTGGGGAGTAGGGAGGAGTCCCATGCCCTCCAGGACTCCCTACCCTTCCCAACATCCTTCATTTAAATTCCAAATCTGAGTCCTCACTCTCTTCCCTCAACGTACTCAGAAGGAAGCCAAGGAGAAGCCACGTTAGAAAAGAAAAGGGAAGTGAATAATCAGGGACTGAGAAAAATCAAAGAGCCCAAGGCAAAAGGGGACACAGCCTGGGCAGATGGTCAGCAGGAGGAGGCAGTCGTTTTAGGACTCTGAGAGAGAAGGAAGAAGTATAGGACCAGATGTGGGGACAGGGCTCTGAGAAAGGCCAGAGGGGGCCACTGGAGTGGACACGACACAGAGAGGGAGCTGGAGGGGAGGCTCAGCTGTTCAGAGCACTTGTTGCTCCTCCAGAGGGCCCAAATTCAGCTCCCAGCACCCATATTAGGTGGCTCACAACACAACTGCCTGTAGCTCCAGCTCCAGGGAATGTGACACCTTCTTCTAGCTTCCAAGGGTACTGGACACACATAGCATATACTCACACAAACACATGCAAACAAAAATAAATACTTTTAAAAGATATTAGAGGATCAAGCCAAGAGAGTCATGTGCAGGCCCTGAGCACAGCGGATGTCCAACTGTAGTCATCACACCTTCCCAGAGGAAGATGGCGGAGCCCAGAAGACAAGGAGGGGCATGTACCTTGCTATCTAGTTTCTTCATGGTCACCAGATCCAGAGACTTCAGGGAGTGTCCAGTGGGTGTAATGAAGTAGAGGCAGACGTGAATTCTTGTGTCGTGGTAGTCAAAGAGGGAGCGGCGGATCTTCAGCTCCTCCTGTAGATAGTTTTCAAACTGCGCATCTATGTAGTCGACTATGGGCCTGTAACTACAGACAGCTTCATCACCTGGGAGGCAGACACCGGCTGCAGTATGTGGGGCTCAGAGCCCAAGCCAGGCTATCCCCACCCCTACTCCACCTCTCCTCCCTGGGAACAAACAGCTTTGCCCTCTCTGGCACAAGAGGGTGACCCATTTTGCTATAGCCTCCCCAAGACGTAAGTGGTCCATTAGTGGCCCAAGGCCTCAGATAGTCCCCAGAGGCCTTCCCTGGTCCCCTTAGGGCTATCTGTATGGAGCAGCTTGAAGTAGGAAGTGCTTAGGCAGTTTTAGGATAATGCCAACTCATGGGGGGTGGATGGGGACAATAGTTAGGGCCACCCTTCCCGCCTCTTGCCTGTCATCCTTATTGATCTGATCCCCAAAGCCCACGGCATCCACGATGGTCAGCTTGAGATGAACGTTGCTCTCTTGGAGGTCGTAGGTCTGGGGTCGCAGGCGCACACACTCCTCATGGTGACTAGCTTCCTCGGTCTCAAAGGTCGTATTGAAGAGTGTGTTCATTAGAGTGGACTTGCCAATGCCAGTCTCCCCTGGGGAGTAGGGACAGTGGGGAGACAAGTAGATGTCAAAGCCAGGAACCAGGACAGTCCCTGGTGGCTAGGCCGGGTGGGGTTCAGACACCCTTATCCCTCCCCACATACCCACCCACCACGAGAGAGGGGCAAGCCTCCTACTCCACCACTCAGTCCCTTCCTTGGAGGCCTCCGAAATGATGTGTGTGAGGGCTTGGGTGTAGATGAGATGTAGGACATTTTGCCTACACACACAAGACCTTAGCGCTCCATCCCAGCACCATAAAAAAATAAAATAATAAGGCCTATGAGATGGCTCAGCGGGTAAAGGCACTTACTGCCAAGTCTGACAACCTGAGTCGTATCCCTGGGACCCATATGGTGGAAGGAGAGAAACAACTCCCACAAGACATCCTCTGAGCTCCACTGGTGTGTGCTCCTCCAAATAAAATAAATGTAATAAGACAGAAGGGAGGGAGGGGAGAGGAATGAAGGAAGGAAGGAGAGAAAAAAGAAAAAACAGTATGTGGATAAAGAGCTTAAAGGAAGCCTTTGGCATAAGGCATGGCTGTGCAGGGCATGTGACGTTTCCCCCGATGGAGAAAAGGCAGAGCCAGACTGCGGAGGCACCAATGGATGCTGGCCTCAAAGAGACCCAGTCAGCTAACACATAACCTGCTCTGTACATCATCCCTCTTAGGCTCAGGGTAGTCATAGGTCCACAGGACCAGGATCTAAAACCTGGAGCTGGCCCATGCTCCCTGGGTTGCCTCAGCTCCATGTAGTCCTGAGGGGCAGGGCCAGAGATTCTTCTTCCCGAGGGATACCCACAGAGGGTTTGCAGAGCACTTTGTGCTTTCCTAGGTGTTCCAGACCTTGGGGAACATGGAGCCTCCCCAGTAGGGTTGTTTGTTCAGATATGTGTTAGAAGTTTACCATGTGATCTACCCCAGGGCAGGTCCGGCTCACCACAGTGTCCTTGTTACTCAGTAGGAATGAGTGAATTTTTAAAAAGACCTACTCTGCTGGGCGTGGTGGCACACGCCTTTAATCCCAGCACTCCGGGAGGCAGAGGCAGGTGGATCTCTGTGAGTTCAAGGCCAGCCTGGTCTACATAGTGAGTTCCAGGATAGCTGGGGCTACAGAGAGACCCTGTCTCAAAAAGAAAAAAAAAATGTATTGAAAGATGTGTGTATGTATACAGGTGTGCATACCATTGTGAGTATGTGCAGGTCAGAGGACAATCTTCAGATCAAAAAGAAAAAAAAAAATGTATTCTATGTTTGTATAAGTCTTGTATGTGTACACACATGTGTGTAGGTGCCTGTGGAGGCCAAAAGAGGCATTGGAGCCCCTTGGAGCTGGAGTTATAGGTAGATGTGAGTGGCCCAAGATAGGTGCTAGGACCTGAACTTGGGTGCTCTGCAAGACCAGCAAACGCTGTTGACCACTGAGCCATCTCTCCATGAACTAATGACTACGTCTCTCATAAACATCCAGTTTAGACAGCACTTTTATGAGACCACTTCTGTTTCTTCTTCATGGCAACTGTGAGTCATGTCTTGGGCTCTAATGCTGTTCTTGACCCTGGCAGGGACACACCCAAGCCCTCACCCTGACATTCCCCCCCCCCCAATTTCCCTCTGCCAGGGAGCCCCCCCTACAGTGGCCAGCACAGCATAGCACCCTCTCCTAGGTCTCACCCATCCTCTGCCTGAGGCTACCCCTGGCAGGCAGAGATACTCACCCACACAGAGGATGTTGAAGCTGAAGCCCTGGGTGACAGACTTGCTGACCAGCTGGTCAGGGAGGCTATCGAACCCCACATGGCCACCCAGAGAGAGGCTCCGGGACTCTGGCTCCACATTCTGCCAGGAGAAGCAAATCAAGGCAGTGAGTCCCTGGGGAAGGCTACACCCACATAAGATCAGCGCTGACCCTGGTGCCTGTGTTTGAGGGAACCAGAGTTCCAATTCCATGCCATGGTCATATAGAGAGACCCCTATACCTTCCCTCCCCTTTTTGAGGCAGGGTCTTGCAATGTAGCCCAGGCTGGCTTTGAACTTGCTATTCCATTGCCTCAGTCTCCCAAGTGTTGGCTTGATAGTGGTATACCATCATGCCCAGCTCCCTGGATCTTTTTTTTATCAAAGAGGGTCTCACATAATCCAGGACAGCCTTGGACTTCATATAATCAATCTTCCTGCTTCTGTCTCCTGAGTTCTGAGATTACAGGCATGTACCACCATGCCTAGTTTATGTTTTGCTGGGAAACCAGGGCTTTATGCATGTTAGACAAGCACTCTGCCAACTGGGCTATGTGCCTTCCCTCCCCCGGATCTTTAAGAACCCAAGAGGCCTAGGTTGGAGAGTATTCCTACAGCCAGCTCTGAGGCTGGAGATGCTGCTGCCCCTTGAAGGCCCTCCTTTCCCAGTTCCTCCTACTGGAGCTCCATCAGAGGCCTTGTCAGGGCAGGCTCATTGTCTCCCACATCCACCTTCCACTCTTATGGACCCAACAGAGTACATGCAGGGGCCTGGCAAGTGGGGCCAGGACTCACGAGGATGGTCTGGGACTGGGGTTCAGGGAGGCATTTGGTTCCTCCTCAGTGGTCTCTGGAAACCCTTCTAATCCTATCCCAGCCATGGCTGTTTAGACAGAGGATTCTAGAAGAGAATGTGGAGGCTTGGCCTCTGTGGAGATGCAGGAAGCAGGCTCCAAGTGAGCAGGGGCCATGAGGTGGCCCATAGCTCAGTTACAAGAAATGATAAGGCCCCAATGCAAAGGGTCGAGGTTGGACTCTACTGTGTGGCTAGTTTTTCTGGCGTACTCTGAGTGAAGGTTCCCAGGCCCACAGAGCTCCATGCTGAGCAGAATCATGCCTTCCTCAGTTGAACCTGTGCTCTAACCACCAGTAGAGACAGGAAGAGCAGGGAGATCAGAGTCTCCCCTGCCCACAGCTCCAGAGTGGAGAGAGACACCCAGGGAGACGGCCAGGAGCTCTAATCAGTGCAGTGGTAGTCCTTTTGTGCATGTGGACACAGATGAGGGCTGGACAGGAGACCTATTGTTCCTATGGCCCAGGAGCCTCCCCAGTACCTGGATATCCACACTCTGCAGAAACACCGTTGCCCTGGCCTGTGCTCCTCCAACCTGTCTCTCCTCACCTGCCTTGAGATATTTATGCCTGCATCCCCCTTAACTCCTGCACCAATAAACCCTAAGTATGTCTCTGAGTAGCTAGATTTCATGTAACCCCTCCACCCTTTTCAAGCAAGCCAGGGTTGCCACAAACCTATTTTCTTCAAAGACACTTGGTGGAACCTATTTTTTACAATGACCCTTTGCCCCTACATGCTGGATCTTCTGCCATGGAGCCTCAGATATGCTGGACCTCCCCCCATGGAGCCTCGGATGTGCTGGACCTTCCCATGGAACCTCAGGTATGCTGGACCTTCCCATGGAGCCTCGGATGTGCTGGACCTTCCTCCATGGAGCCTCGGATGTGCTGGACCTTCCCATGGAGCCTCGGATGTGCTGGACCTTCCCATGGAGCCTCGGATGTGCTGGACCTTCCCATAGAACCTCAGGTATGCTGGACCTTCCCATGGAGCCTCGGATGTGCTGGACCTTCCTCCATGGAGCCTCGGATGTGCTGGACCTTCCCATGGAGCCTCGGATGTGCTGGACGTTCCCATGGAGCCTCGGATGTGCTGGACCTTCCCATGGAGCCTCAGATGTGCTGGATCTTTCCCAGGCCTGGCATTCCAGGCCTCCTCCCAGGCCAACTTTGAACTCACTATGCCAAGGATGGCTTTGAACTTCGAATCCTCCTGAGTGCTGGGATTATAGGCATTTGCCACTATGCCTGGTTTTATGCAGTGCTAGGGATCAAATGCAGGGCTTTGTGCACACCTAGGCAAGTACACTACCAACCTAATTTAGACCCACCTAAATTCCCCTTTCTTTCACATTTCCTTTATTAATTTATCTAGTGGGGGAGGGGTGTATACATGCTACAGTGCAAGTAAGGAGGTCAGAGACAATTTGCGGAGTCAGTTCTTTTCTTCCACCATGTGGGCTCCAGGCATCGAACTCACGTCATCAAGCCCGAAGGCAAGTGGCTCTACTCACTGGACCATTATGCTGGCCCCTGAGTATCTCTTTCAAGCTCAGCAGCTTCCCTGGGCTCCTGGGTTCCAGGTCTCCGCCTTTTTCCTGGCACCTGTCCTCACTGGTCCTATGTGGTACATCAGACCCTCCTGGACAGCAGTCAGGTTTCCTTCACTGTTGCTTCTCCTTTATGCACTGTAGTTCTCCACCTACTCCACCCAGCTCAGGACACTAGCCACAGGTTGGGGAAGTCCTGTCCCTCGCTCTTCCACCCTGCTACGCCAGTGCCATGCACCCTGCTCCTTGAAGACACTGAGTGTGTCTGTCGGTGCAGGCCATCTTACACAGGCTTCATTATTCAGCCTCTGTTCCACCTGCAGCTTGAGGCTCAAATGGAGGATAGAACAGTCTGGAGCTTTTTTCTTTTCAGGCGAGAATGAAAATCTCCCCTGTTTAAGGCGTGCTGGGCTTGCGGAGAAGGCTGTGTATTTATCCATGCCCTCCTTCCAAGGGTGACACAATCAGGATCCGATCCAACATCCTGTAGTCTGCCGCCAAAATCCACCAAGTCAGCTGTGTCTGGAAACTGCGTGCATAGACACACACACACACACACACACACACACACACACACACACACACTCTCTCTCCCTGCTGCAGAGAGTTTGCAAAAAAAAAAAAGAAAAAAAAAAACCCCAGTAGTCATCCTCTGCCTCAAGTCTCCCCACTTTCTTACAATTCTGGGCTCCAGAGACTGAAAACTGAACTAAGAACCACACAGGCCCAGGCGCCGCAGCCCTGCCTGCCCTTCCCTCATACAGCGTGGCTTTCAGTGTAGAAGTGTGGCGGACAGGAGGTCATCACCCCCAGGTTGTTGCCCAGGCTGTACTGTATCTACCCAGGAGCCTCAAGGTACAGTGGGGGTGTCAGTCTATGGAGTCCACAGTGACATAGACTGTACAACGGCTACTGCCTTGATGGACAGTGCCCTTCTCTGGTCTCACGGACTGGCAGGAGCTTCCAGCTCTACTGAGAGATGACTCTCACCAATGTAGCCTCCTTGATCATGCATTTGGCAACAATAACTTGTGATCCAAAGTGCCCTACTTACTCCAAAATGCTACCCCCTCCCCTACCCCAAGTGTTTGCTAACCTGAGCAGTCACAGCCTAGGAAGAGCTGGCAACCCCTGAGCCATTCACTGCATGTCTCAGTGACCACAGCTCAGATATAAAGTCAGATCTAGCCCTGGCTACCAGCCCTGCCATTTGGTGGCAGGCCAATCAGCATGATGCTATGACTGATTCAGGTCCAGGCAAGTGGCCCAGAGGGAGCCTTTATGACCATCTTGTAACCATCTAGGGGGTTAGCCTAAAGCTAAAGCCCTCTAACAGAAGCCATCAGGGCCAGGAAAGTCCTAGAGAAGTCATGGAGCCCATATGCCCTGCCTCTGGACCCTTCTCTATGTGTTGACCTTAAATCTCTACGTGGGTTGAGTCCTCTAGCATCTGCAGCTGAGGGTGCCTTGCCTGCTGTCTCCACAGTGACAGCACACACACAGGGACAGGAGAGAGTGGGGTGACCCAGGAGACTCCAGGAGGAAGAGCAAGGAAGGCCAAGCATCTGAGTTTACCACCTCAGGGAAGAACAGAGGTCACAGACAGTATCAGCTCCGTGCTAAGAGCCACTGTGTGTGGATTAAACCAGGACAGCTACAGTGTCTCACTTAGTCCTTTCCTACCCTGTGGTGCACTAACCAGAGCCCGGCAGCGATGGAGAGCAGAGCAAGCCCTAAGCCAAACCACTCTGCTATCCTGCCTTCTGCTACACTTAGAAAGCTCCCAGCCCCTCACTGTTGGTCATCGCACACTGACTGGACACAACTGCCGTGTGGCAGGCCCTGGAAAGGCAGCAGTGAGATGAAAGCGCCAAGTCCTTGACCTTAGGATTTGAGCTAAATGCAAGTGCCACAGAGGCCAGGGAGGCAACATAAATGGACAAAGAGGATCAATACAGCAATGATGATGACTCGCAGCTACAGTTAATGCTCATCGAGTACGAGAATGGACACCTGCAGTCTTACTGCACTCGGCAGCCTCCTCTGTGAACTGTGAGCTGGAGATACTTGTGGGAGGCACTCGGCTCAGGGTCTAAATGGAGACAACGTGCCTGGGAAACTCACGTTCTGACCCTATTATTCTGTGGCTGCTGGATGGAAGGCAGCTGCTTACACAGTCAAGTGCGGAGTCCGCCCAGAAGGAGGTGGGAGTAGCAGGAACTCTGCGCCCAGGCATGGGTGGGGTGGTCAGTCTACAATTTCAGCCAGCTGTGATTTGTTTCTCCCAAGAGATCCAAACAGGGTATCACTGCATATCTCTGCAACCCCAACATCAGGGAGGCTAAGGCAGAGGCCGGCCTGGACTATACCTAGAGCTAAGGATATAGGTCAGTGTAGAGCACTTCCCTAAGTACGTGTAAGGTCCTGGTTTCAATCCCCAGTACTACTCCCAAACACAACCAAAGGAAAGAAAAGCAGATGTAAAACATTAAGTGTAAGTCGGCACTGGAACGCAAAGACAGGAGAATCAAGAATTCAAGGGCATCCTCAAGTACTTATCAAGTTTGAAGCCAGCCTGGGCTATATGAGATCTCGTCTCAAAAAAAGGGGGAGGAGGTGTACATAAAAACAAAAGAAAAAAGGAAGAAAGAAAATATTGAGCCCAGCACAAAGTTTTGGCATTTCAGAGGCCGGTCC